CCCCCCTCCCTCTCGCCCAGCGCTGGCCTGCCCAAGTGCGTCACAGTCCTCGCTACTCGAGCATATTTCAGCCCGAGCCGGAAGTCGTGCATTATGGATGTGTATCGGACGCGCCGGGCGGGCGGGGCGCGGCGGGCGGGGCGCGGCGGGCCGCACTTTCTGTCCCCCGGATATCATTTTCGTTGGGCTTTGAGAAATGCGTCTAGTCGAGGGGGATGTTCTTGTGCGCGTATTAGGCCCCGTGATGTACGGCCCGGGAATGGCAATATGTTGATGTGCGTGCGCGCGTGCGCGCGTCCCATACTCATTGCAAGTGCCGCCTGCCAAGATAGTGACCGTGTGTGTGTGTTTGTGTGTTGCAGACGAGTTCCGGTCCAAGGTGGCGTGCGAGAGAGACGTGGTGCAGCTGCAATGCAACCCCAACGCCAGGATAGCCGTGTACTCAGCCTCGTACGGCCGCACCGAGTACGAGTCCATCCAGTGCCCGCAGCCGCAGCGGGTGCCCGAGGAGAGTGAGTATTGTGGCCAACCGAGGCCAGTTCCACAACCCATTCAGACAGTTCGTTGCTAATTTTCCATCGCAGGTTTACAAGATTCATGAAAACGATTTTGGCATTTGTTTGTTTGTTTGTTTGTTTGTTTGTTTGTTTTCTGACGGAAATAAGGACTGCCAAATCTGGCAAGATTTTTACTAGAAGTTTTTCTTTCCACTGTCTCTTTTGTGCAATTCCATTTATTGTTCTGGGTTGCTATCATTAGTACGCCAGCAGCCAGTAGTATGAGACGTCCCTCCGACATCAGAGTCGTTTGTTTCCGGCCATCGGTGACCTATATCAAAGTCGGGGCGGTTAGTGTTTTTCATGGTGTGCTGGTCAGCGTTTCAAAAGGGCGGTGGGCCGAGCGCATGACCCTGTGACCCTCTGGCCTGGACCGTTCTATGACTGTATTTTAATTATTTGGCCCTTCGCTTTGAAACGCTGCTCGAATGTTTCGATAATTTATCGCCCCGTTTGCGCGGGGCGGCGGGCGTGGCGCGGCGGTCCAGGGGCAAAACAACGGTTCGCCCCGCCAGGAGCTGATTTCCCCGGAGCCTGCGAGCGATAAAGAATATGGCTGTTCGGGAGAAAGGATGAGGCGTTTGGAGTCTGGAGGAGACTCTTTATCTCGATCTGTATCAATGAGTAGTGGCAGTCGGCCGACCACCGGGCCAAGCAATGCTGCCAATAATAATA